TGTAAAACATTTGTATACTACGTAAGAAGTTTAAATATTGTACACATTTTATCATGAAGTGATGAAAAATCTTTTATAGTGAAATATGAAACATTGTAAAATTCATTCGCGTATTTGTTCTTGTTTTGTAATACTTGATGTTGTAACTTTCATTTCCTTACAGTTTTATAAACTGGTTATGGAAATTTGATTTATGGAAAATGGGAAATGTTGTTTTGGCGATGGACTCCTGGGATTTGGCACTTGTAGTGTGTCCCATAATTTTCATCCTTTTCACTGTTTGAAATGAATACACATTAAGAATTTTTACTCCTCTCCCTGTCCTTAGATAGAACTTTCTACTAGGAGTGGTATCACATATTAGATGATATGCCCATATATATTTGTATATATATACAATAATTATCTGCACTAAGCACTTTTCGAATTTCACATCAGTTTTTATTATTTTCATACAGTACTGAACAACCTGGAATTTACGATGCCCCTAAAAATATATAGGCCTATTCTAAGACTGATAGAATGTTCACTACAATGAATTCTCTTCATGTTTATACAATTATATATGCCCAGAAATTATTTCAAAATTTTGCTGAGTCTCTCTAAGCTGGAGAAGGAAAGTTCCAGCGCGAGAAATTCCCAAAAAATCTTTCTGATGTTAACAAGAACAAATCGGGTGAGTTCTTATTCCAATTATGACATCACACACAGTATTGGCAAACTACTGTTTTAACGATCACAACTTTGCACTATCCGATCACAAAATGTCACTTTAGTGAATAATATCATATGTTAAAAGATTATGCATTACGAGTTTTGTATTTTCATCTTTATATTTTTGGGTCATTTAGTACAAATACGAAAAATAAGGTTAAAATACAATTTAGTTCTAACAATTGTTGCAGTTGTGTATTTTCTTACTCATTGGTTCAAAAAATACCCAAAATTAATGAATATTATTTGATGATGTTCTTAAAATAATACAAGTTGTATATATTTTACATTAGCTCATTATTCTATGTATTGTGACATTTTGTGAAAGGATCCTATTGGTGGTGGTTTAGATGTTGTCCTTTCTTTGTTGTCTTGGAAACCAAATCCCGGAAAGGTCTTCATTACTATTTTCTATTCTTATAATTTTACATTTCAAATTTAGTGACTAATATCTACCGTAGACATAATTGTAGTATTTTTTTTAATATTAACGACCAACAGGTGTTCAATTTCTGTTTTTATTTCATTTACAAAAACCAAAGGTCGTTAAAATAATGATTTTTACGCCAAATGAATGTTTTACATGGAAAGTTTGAATTTAAGAACGATACTGGTCAGACGATAATAAGATTAACAATTAATATGGTGGCTGGCGTTAATCCAGCTAGTTTGCCCATATATGTGGATGTCCTAGTCTAGCTGTAGCGCATGGTGTTGTACTTGTATAATAAAACAGTAAAACAATGCCACTCTCTCACTCTACTATACCTTACATTTGGTGTTCATCAGCAACCCATTTGGCTTATTAGTAATGATTATGTTATTTGTTTTTATTTGTCTGTTCCTTATTAATGGTTTATCGGATGACGTTAGATGTTAATAAGGTACTTTCAAAAATATACTAAACAATATAATCGGACAAACAGAGTATCTTATGCATTTCTAGGGGTTAGGTATGGTAGAGTGTCTCTTTATTAATCAAACTAACATGGAGTTTGAAACCATTTTGAGTATCATTAATAGAGGAGGTGTTGTTTTCATGTTGGACATTAGCATTTGATTGAATATTAAGCTTAGTATTCAGGCAATGAATAATATAAGCAGCTAATGTATTTTATTTGACCTTGTATGCAAACTGTACTAGAGATAGATATTTTCTTATTTTCCCAGAATGAATGCCATTGTGGTCAGTAAAGTTTTGGTTTGGGAGATAAATGTTTAAAGGATCTTGATTTTTGAAAAATTCAAATTTTGTGATAAAGGGGAGGATTATTAAGTGAAATAAACTTCATTTTTTCACTCTTGGAATTCAGATTTCTGCGATGATGTCATTCTGTATTGATATAATCATCAAAAATGATTGAAATTTATGAATCATTATTCAAAATATTTCGACAAATATTCAATATTATTCATTCTTCCCTGCCTACCTTGATTTTATGCTATTCATTTATTAGAATTATTTGATTTGATGCTTTATAGCATGGCCACTATGGGATTTATTCACTGGTGGATTCTAAATGAACCAAGCAGGAACCATTTTGAGTTTTTGACAAATCCTAGTTTAGTATGATCTCCCCATCCAAGTTTGAATCCCAAATTCAAAATACTTACCATTCTGCCGAAATTCATAATATTTTACTTTCCACCCAGAATTCACAATTCTTGACTTTTCACCCAGAATTCAATTTTTTCTGCCCAAACTTCAAGATTCTTGGTGTTCAACCCATAATTCAAAATGTTTGACCCTATCTCAAGATTTGGAAATCGGTGACTTTTTGCTTAAAATTCAACATCCCAAACTAAAAATGACTTACCAAATTTAATGATTTTAAGTTTATATCCAAAACTAAAACCACTTGATAGATTTTCAAACTTATAGTTTTCTTAAGATTCAGAATATCAAAGTCCTATTCCCAATAAAAAAAACAAATAAAGGGTTTTAGATTCTTAAAATTGGTGCTGTATGGTTTGTTTTGAAATTCCTTTAAGTTATTTTGATCCATTTATGTGCTTACTTGTGTCTTATTTCCAGCTAAGTTTTATATTCATTAGATGTTCAAAAAAGTGAAATGAATTTTATAATAGTTTATAATTAATACATAATTTGTACAAATTTTTACAATTATTTGATCATGACTGCACATTGATGCAGTTATTTTGCTGATTTTATATCTAGTTAGGATTAGTGTGTTTTGGTTATTTGTAATTTGCAACTAATTAATGTATGATTGAAGAAAAGTAAAGTCTGGGTTTTCCTTAATGTTTAGCAGTGATTTTTATATGCAAACCCCATATATTTGTAATCGAAATATTAGACAAAATACTGCAAGAAAATTTGCTTGATGCTTGTATTATTTAAGGGGATTGGGTAGTGAATTGAAGCATTAAAATCACTGTTAGACTTTAAGAAAACCCCTAAAGAAGGCATGATATCAACAAACCCAAATACAATAGGACACTGGAAAGGCTGACAACCATAGCAACAACAACAATTTGGTCGCCATGGTAGTTTTGTTACCAATGGCATCATCTCTATGGTAAACACGCCTTATATCAATGGCATGTTGGTTAATGCATGGAGTTACACCAAATAACCGAATTATGGACTTTGATATTATTAGTATTTCTTAATTTTGTACTTTTATGAATTGAGTTTGATATGCAAACCTCATAAGTGTCAAAAATTTGGTATTGAAAATTTGGTATTGAAAACTATATACAAAGACTGTGTGTTCCCATAATGCAACATGTTTTAAAGTTTAATATCTTGGGATGTACATACCTCTTGCTTTATTTAGGGCTATTTAGCAGTAGAACATTGTAAAAGTCTTAATATAGTCTAATAACATAGAATATCATATAGTTTGCATGAAAGCCAGTAACACCAGAGGCAATATTAAATTCAACAGAGGCAGAATTTTATGCTCTAGTGTACTTAAGTGCCCTTTTCTAGAAAATGATGAAGATTACGATATAATGTTTTTTGTCAATTTTGAAACAGGAAATCAAATATTGTCTCTGTAGGTGGACCTGGATAGACACTCATCTAATAGACTTTCCCAATAAACCGTGCAATTTTTGTTAACATTAAAGAAGCAAAAATATATCAGCCATTTCCTGAGATTCAGCCCATGACATTATTGGTATACATAGCAAAAGCTGTCACGGTTTATTGGAAACGTCTATTGTTTTTACTTTCAGCATGGTCTATGTTTCAATCACAGCTTGCTTATCTACTTATCAAATTGCTTGAGATATTTGTATCTTAATTGAGATTTTTAAAATATCGAGTTTGAAATCAAATTTTGATATGGATTACCACAAGCAAAACTATAGCTTCTTAATTACTTCACATAGCAGTGAAATGACATTCGAAGATGTTTCGGTTGTTCATAGTTTGATGTTTTTTTCAGTCTGTATTTGAACATTGTTTTTTGATTTCTGACCATATTTGATTTACAGGGTGTCCATTAAATATATTTACACTTAACACAATTTTTGTACATGTCATTGTAAAAAAACTTGATGGACACCCTGAATTATTTTTGTTCAACAGGCTCTCTTGATTGTAGATTTCATAGCAATGTTTAAAAATGTTCTTTTCGTTCCTGCCATTCACTGCTTGAATATAACATTACATAACATAGGGCCTTGAACATAACATAGGACCATCATATTACATAATAGGGGGCCTTGCTTTTCACCTTCCTGTGAGCATGTATTAAATTCAATGTTTTATAAGTTGGAAAAGCACCAATGCATATTTAATTAATTTAGTTAATAATTATGTTTTACTTGAGGAGTTAAGACGGAGATTCTATGATTTATTGCGTTAAATATGAACCAAAGTTTGAATCTGTTCATTGTTAAAAGACTGAAATAGCATAGCCATTGAGGTCTTTGGCAATGGCCAGAACAAAATATTGGGCCATATGTTTGCCATAAACCATAGACTCAAGGTCTTTATTACGATTCTAATATGATAAATAGACCAGAAAAAACAAATATTTGCATTTATGAATCTTAATGGTCATACATACTCCAATATACGACCAGTAAATCAATTGTTATAGTTATTGTGATGTCACGTATCATATTAGAATTAATATTCAGTTCCTATTAAGATTCGTGTTAGAAAAGTTCATAACCAAAAGTTTATGGCATCATAAATCGCAATGCCCTGTCCCTCAAACATAATGATACTCCTTGATAGGTCTGAATGTTTTGTTTGGATCATACATCTATTTTTGCTTTAAAAGTTTTAAATTTTTTTTTCTTTTCAGAATGTCTTTCCGGGATGTTTCTCTACAAGAACAAATGTTTAATGAAGTGTCCATCTGGTACATTTGGAACATTCATCATTGTCAAGGGAGGAAGTTTAGAAAATAGAACAGTCGAAATGGCTGTTTGTAAAGTTTGCCCAGAGGGGTGCAACCTATGCAAAGGGAATAACCCAACTGATTGCTTAACATGTAAAGAAGGTTACAAAATGGAGAAAAATGCATGTATTCAACAGTTAATAATGGGCTTCCTCGATCCAAAGATGATCCCAATGTACAGTATTGCGCTGTTTTTCTGCATCACAGCCATTCTACTTTTCTTCATTATCTTCGGCTTGCTGCATTTAAGGGTACACCAAAAGATGTGCTTCGTGGAGAAGGAACCACGAATTGAAGACAAAAATGGGAAGGGGGGATACGACGCATTGACTGTAAAATATGAAAATGGTGATTCAAAACATAACGGAGATAATCACCATTTGTTATTGTCAGAGTCTGAATCTGATTTAGAATTTGAAACTGCAATTAAACAATGATATTAGGTGTGGTGAAATTTTCAATGTCCATCAATTTTTTTCATTCAAGTAAATCTTGTCACCTATTGTCGATATAATAAATAAACAGTCTGGATAATATGCCTTTACTAATAATTATTTGTTAACAATTCCTAATAAATCTTTCAGAAACCTCCCTTGTTTAATAATTCGTTTCTTCAAATTCTTTCAATTACACAAGTCCTATTGCAATTTTTAGAGTTTTTAGACTTGAATAAAACAAAGAAGAACCTTTTTGACCTAAAACTCTACTAATTTTTGACAATAATCAACTGTCGATGGGATGTCCATATGTGTTATGGGTTACTCATTATAGAAAGTATATTAAAACTTCAAATACACAAGTTTTATTTGGACTCAATTGACTTTATCTTATTTAATGACTGGCTTTTAATTTTACTTTTTTGGATGGACATTGAAAATTTCATTCCACACCATCTCAATTCATGTACATCATAAAAATACTATATTCTACAAAATCATGGAGACAATTATAAATTAGCCAATAGAGTAATTAAATTATTTCAATTCAAAGGTTACAATTGTAAAATTGCTGTCAAACTAACTTGTATATAGTTGGTTCATAAGGACCCAAGCAGTAACATGTGGACCAACATTATCTGGACCATGAGTTAGTGGACCAACAAAATCAGTATTTCCTTAGTTTACAATGTTGCTCGGGTCATGTTGATTTTTAGCAGTCTCTAAAGTTAATAATATTCTACGTCTGCTCATGCTTATTGAACTCATTTCTCTCTAAAATTTGTAAAAGTGTTTGATTTTCTTGCATTTCTATATAATTTAGAGTGTTAACTACATGCCTGTTTACTTTATTCCTAACTATTTCCTCTCATTTCTCTCTAAAATTTGAATGAAGTGTCCAATTTTCTTGCATTTCTATTCAATTTAGAGTGTTAACTACACACCTGTTTACTTTATTCCTTGCTGTTTCCTATCTTTATCACTATTTTGCATTTAAAAACATGACCATTGCAACATTTTGAGCAGGGAGTTCAATCTTTGTGCCATGCATTAAAGGGGCCATTTTCAAAAAAGACCTGAATTATGAAAAAAGAATGATGTTGTCTGTGATGATGTTGCCATGCAACCAGGACCACAAAAACAAGTGAAACTCACAAATTTTTATTCACATTTTTTAGACACATGGCCAAAATTATAGATTACTAAACAAAATTATAAAACCCATTTTATGAGGATATCTGCATTGATCAGTTGATGGTTCATAGAAATGATGTTGTTATAATATTGGAATTTAGGAAGCACTCTACTTATAAATAATAAATTGATATTTGATATCAATTAATGAGTAATTATATTGTGCACCTATATATCGTGCAAGGGAAACTAATGACTATGTAGTAAATGTATATAAGAGAGCCAGACCAAGAAATATTCTACCTGTTTTAGCCTTAAAATAAGTTGTATAATTTTGAAATTGGAGCTTAAACTTACATACAACACTTGATTTTAGCAGAAATTTTTTGATTATCATTCCAATGGTTTTTAATATTCCAAAGGTAATAGGGTAATTGAATATTAGATGATCTCCTGGGGGAGTGTAATGTTTTGAGTGTAATCTCCCTCTCCTGCTCTAGATGTATTTTATCGAAGTGACAAAAACTCAAACAAAGTGACTATACAATTTGATACAGCCATATTTGATGGTTTACCATGGGAACCATCATGACCCATTGTACCATCAGCTTGCTTGCGCTTTCATAGATAGTATGAGGGGTTGAACATATATTCGAGTGAGGCTGATTATATGCAAGCAAACGCACCATAGGCAGATAGGTGGAGTCCTGTATATTACTGTATATACCATGTCGATTTTGTTTAGGCCCATGTGTGAGGTATTGAGACTTAATTGAAATTTGTTGGTACAGTTTATCAAAAGTTATTACTGATTTAAAAGAAATTAAAAACTCTATATGTACATATCTAAAAAAACATTGTTTAATAGAAGCCTAATGAACAATGGTAAATAGAAATAGCTGTTTGATGCTGGTGAACGCTACCTTTTAGGGAATTGGTGAACATTTTTTGGTTGCAAATTTGGTGAACAGCTCTCCAATGAAAACCTTCATGAACATTAATTTTCACAGACAAAAATTGTTTATCCCTTTTATATTAAAACCAGATTATGCCTCGTTTGTTTTTCCTTACCATCATAAGTAAGCTTATTGTAAGAAAAGGAACGTTGTCCAATATTGTCAAACAGACTACCCAATGTGAATAACAAATAAGAAATAAGACAGAGAAATGAAATTGACATGACAAATGGTTTATGGCAATATTGTCAAATAGTTTATGTCAATTCTCAAATGGTTTATTTTATGTCAATTGTCAAATGGTTTATGTCAATTATCAAATAGTTTATGTCAATTATCAAATAGTTTATGTCAATTGTCAAATAGTTTATGTCAATCGACTGTCTCACATTGTCTTAAACTTATTTCTAAAACTGTTATTGTTTGTTTGTATATATTTTGTAAATAGATGAAATTAACAGTAATGGTGATTGGAAACAAAACATTTCACGTGCCAAAATGTTTATTTAATTAAAAGCACAAGTCTATAGCAGTTATGAGTAGCAGTAATGAAGTTAGCAGTTATATAGTAGGCAGTATTGCTCAGTTTAATAGAAATCTTGATCAGGTTTCTTTAATATGAGAAGCAGTTTTACTTAATTTCCTTGTTGATAAGGTTTACAATGGGACAAATATTTTTGTCATTAATTAAGGAATAAAGACCAAGATTTTATGATTCATGGCGTGATATTTTACCGAAAATTTTATTCTGTTCATTGTTAAAAGACTGAAATCGTGTAGGGATTGAGGTCTTTGGCAATGGCCAGAATTAAATTTTAGGTCATATGTTTGACATAAACCATAATATAGAGGTCTACTTTGTAACGATTATAATATGATAAACACACAAGAAACATGACTATCTGCATTTATGAATTTTATCGGTCATACATACTCCAATATAGACCAGGGGGGCATTAACAGAAACTTCTTAAAGTTAAAAATTCATAAAATTCATTGTTCTCTAACTGTGACGTCATTATATCCATGGTTACAACAATTGATTTACTAATTCGTAACTTTACGAAGTTTCTGTTAATGGCCCCCAGTTTATCAATTGTTCTAGCTATTATGACGTCGCGTATCATATTAGAATCGCTGATATGAATAAAATGTCATTGTCAACTTTGGAATGTAAGATGTGTTTCATTTAAATGTTGTCAGACATTCAGAATATTTTCATTGATTGTCAAGTTAAGAATTTGCAATTATTTCTATTAATTTTAGGTTTGTATACTTTCACTGCAGTTCTGATATCCGAATTTAATTTGTAATACAGCATAGATACATTGTTATTATGTTTATGTAGGTGAGACTTCTGATGATTTTTATTCAGATGTTATTGATGGTCAATTCCAAAATCGAGTTTCACTTTTAATTCATGTTTACATGTATATAAAACTACCATTCAGATGGCAGGCCATTTTAGTTGGAAATTTCAGAAATGCAAAGAACTGAAGAAGGGTTTTCTAAGGCCCTACTGAGACTACATTATTTAATTTAGGAGTAACATTATTATTTAATTTAGGAGTAACTCTCAATTATGATGGAACCTTTTTTATTAATTTAACTGTAGTCTGTTCAATCCATTGAATTTTCTATCTAAAAAATACAAGATGTCTATCTTTAACTGTTAAGTCCAGGATGCATGTTCGGAATTTTGCTGCATTCCTCAATTGAGTCGCATGTTATTTTTCAAACAGGAATCACTCCTTTCCCACATAGCATACATCTTCCAGTTTTGCACAAAAGTGCACATATGTGCCTAGAAAAGACTTGTGAGAAGATTTCTTTTGTAAAAGGTATAAAAAACGAGAAATTTCAATGAAAAAAATTTCTGAATCTTCACTGAATTTTCTTGTTTTTTATACATTTTATCAAAACATTTTTCTTCACATGCTTTTCTAATTAATTGTTTTGCAACAGTGTGAGATGTAGACATTGTGGGGAAGGAGCGATTCAAATTTGAAAAACAACATGTGACTCAATTGAGGGTTGCAGCAAAATTCCGAACATGCACACTGACCTTAGCTGAGAGTTATTCCAAAATAAGAGCATTGCTTTTTTGGGTCACCCTGTTTTTTTTAATTTCGCTGAAATAATAACTTGCAACATGGAAAAACCTTTGCAACTCAGGTGTTTATGGATATAAAAAACACAGAATTTGTATTTTAATGTCGAGGGAAATTATTTTTGGGAAAAAGTTAAACGGTCAGATTTATAGAGTATATATATAAATGGAACTGTTGAACCCCATATATGGGAATAATTATACTGAAGTTCCGAGCTGTTATAATGTACAGATATTTGTAGTCTTATATAGTATATAACACACATTAAAAGTAGCTGTAAGCTATTGAGGGTTCACATTGTATTGTACCCTCCTGACAAAACTAGACAAAGCGTTGTTACTATTTTATTGTACATATGTAATACGAGGTAGGCCCTATCAAAATATATTAAAAAATATAATTTTGAAGAATTCAGAACTGATAGGTTTTATATTGCTAACAAACAGTATGTTTACACCTTATTTCCATGACGATATTTTGAATTGTGCATTTATTTGAATTTATTTTCACAATGACATTAAGGTTAGCGGGGCCAACAAATGTGCAAATGTACTGTGTCAGAAAAACAGGGTACACTATTAAGTACATGTCCATTGACAAAACCAAACGAAAAGGTCTTTCATGTTTAATTAAGTACATTTTACAGTATTCTTGAGATCTTACTGTCACTCTTTGACACCCAGGGTGTCTGTAAAGTCTCTTTTTGCATTACATAGACATTGTATTATAAATGTAGAGAGACCTTATGGACACCCTGTATTTGGAATGTCAATGTTATCAGAAATTGTACTCTAGATTTCTTGCATTGTATAAATGATTAAATTGCTCAAATCTTAGGTATGAACATACTGATTGTTAGAGAATATGTGATGGTCTTTTCTCAAATTTATCATGGATTTCTGATTTAAGAATTTACTCATTTTGACATGATATACAGTAGTACAGTTTGATTCAAAATTTGTTTGTAAATATGTAAATTTTTAAATTATATATATAATTATTCATTTTGCTGATTCGCAACTTCATTTCATGATAGGTTTGAGAAATTACCATTCGGGGTCAGTTGTTTAAAATTACATACTACATTTGAGAGTTTTATGGCGCTGACCCCTGATTATGAGAATATGAGTGTGTACAGTATAATGTATACAATTTTGGCGCACTGATGTAATTATGGCGCACAGATGGAATTTGGGCACACAGAAACAGAAAAACAGATACACAGAAATAAAGTATTTTGGGAATAAAATTCCTCTTCTGTTTTATTTATTAAAAAATCTAAAAATATCTAATACAGTATAAATTAAGTTCTTAGTTACTAAATCTTGTAAATTCAAAGCAAGCAAGTGGTATACCAGAATTTCTCACTAAGAGGCCCATGGGCATTTATTTGGAAAGGGATAATTTAAAGTATTTTACGTTCCAATGGTTCTAAATGAACATTCAAGAAATAATTTGTAGCCTATACATTAAAATCAACTACAGGTCTACTGCCATTTATGACCATGGAGATGTTACACACAATAGACAATGTTTCCATGACTGTATAGGAATGTCTCTAGACAACAGTCCTACATAAATCTATATTCCCTCTATAAAGGCCCATGAGCATTCTTTCTAACTGCTTTCAAATAAGCTCTCATTTGGTATGCAATGGAGTAAATAAACGTTCCATGGGGTATTACTTCTCATTCAACAAAAAGTGTGGCTGTATATCAGTCGCAATAGACGTTCCGATAAATCGTGCCATCTTTTGATCCATCAGAGAAACCACAATATATTGGCTAGATTGATGTCATAGGTTGTACTTTTGTAAAATTAGCAAAAAGTTAATACCATTTTTGAATGGGCAGTTTGCTACCTACAACCAATGACATCATCAATCTAGCCAGTAAGTTATAGTTTCCCTGATGGATCAAAAGATGGCACGATTTATCGGAAACGTCTATTGAATTCAATAGTAAAAGCAGCATCTGTAAATTAGGCCTAGCCTAGGTAAAAGTACATGGCAAGAAAATATAAGAATAAATTTAAATTTTTTACCAAATGTCTCTAAAATTTTACATACATTTTGAGGCAATTCAAACATCAGCCATATATTAATCAATTTGATATTAAAATAACCTCAGTGAATTTTATGTGTAAAAGCATACTAATATGCATATAAAATACACTCTCAAATCAAAACACTTCTAACTCAAATAAATATTACTGACCTAGAGTAAAGTGCACCTTCAGGCATTCAATTATACAGCTTACATATATTAAAGAATACTTGTTTTAACAATTTAAATGATTTGCCATTAGTTTACACAAAAAAACATGTAGTTTTCAATACAAGGCTACTAAAATATATCATCTGTTTAATATATAATTAATACAAAGGCACCATTCGGTGGGGTCAAATGATAATATAGTCATAATATCATGGGGTGCGAATTTTTGCGAGTGAAGCGAGACCCAAAAAGGGAAGGGAGTTCACCCTCGGATATTTTTTAAAATCTACATAGTACATTCTAAATATTTAAAACTATAATATTATTTGCTGTTTTTTCAACAGATCATGTGATCACCCCCCCCCCCCCTCCTCCTGGCTACGCCTATGAATGTGTTGTTTTGATGACGCAAATGCTGATCTCTTCAGTATGAGGCAAAAGTGTAAAAAAAACAAATTTAGACCTCCATTATTATTTGGAGCATTCCATAAAATAACCAGCATGTAAGCCAAAAATAGCTTTATTTTATAGAAAATTATAGATAAAAGATGTAAAATTATAGATAAAAGTTGGATTAAATTAACCAATGCAATATAGAGTTCCATCATAATATTTGGATAAAAGCATTGGTATAGACAATTTTGGCAGTTTTCATTTGACCCTAAATTGTTGAATGGGTGGACAAACAGACAACTCAGCAATTCCATAGAATAGCCATGTATAAGCCAAAAATAGCTTTATTATATAGAGAATCATAGGTAAAAGGTGTAAACATGTTGTGTTCTATATGTATTAATGTATGAAAAATACTAGTAAAATATAGTATATAGTAAAATATATGTTCAGCTAAATAGTTTAATGAAAATTATTTTGATTTTAAAATACTTTTGAAACTTTCAGTTGATCCTTTTCACTATCAGAGTAGACCTAAATTGTGCATAAAAGTCAGTCACAAAACTAGATTGTGGATTAAAAGTGGCCAGACATTGTCAAATTATCTATCTAATCATTTGCATAAGACAAATCTATCATCTTAAAAAAAGCTTTCCTTTAAAGTCAGTCTAGTCTCACTTTGTAAAAATATTTTATGAAACTTTGCGGATACAAATTAGGTAAATGTCACACTTTCCCTTTATAAATACTATAAAAAAGCATTCTCTAAATAAAGCTCATATAAAATATACCAAATACAACTGAGATTCTAGATCTAATGTCATACATTAACGTCAAATAATGTACAAACAACAAAAACGTTTCGACTCCTAACTAATAAAATTACATACCTAGGTAATGTTTCTACCTTCAGTGACCTTTCTAGTATTTGGATGAAGTTCCTGATATATACAATTAAAAAACTAATTGTTTCTATACATTTGAGATGAGCGACTTCTATACAATTGAGAGACTTATTTACATTATATTTTGCTGATTGAACTCTTTGACATTTTCCATGACAATTATGGTCCCAGTGGAGGTGTATTGGCCCACACATTAAAACCAACCAGAATTATCCAGATCTGCTGCTGGGGGAACCTCTGTTGTGAAACCTGTGAACCCCAAATAATTTGGGATGTGGGTCCCACAGTCAGCAATGTTGTAGATGTTGCTTAGAAACAGGACCAGGTTTACCATGAGTGGGGGGAATCCAAAAATACAACGATAATGGTAGCACCTCGCATATAAGACCCATTGTAGAGTCCTGAAAAAATGTGTAATTATAAATATAGATGTTGAAGGATGGGGAAAATATTCTTTAGTGAGGAATATGTAATATGGTGTGTACTGAGTAATGTGTGCCCTCAGAAAATTTAGGCATACACAACCAAGGCATTAACATGCAAAATGTCACCACCTGCCATTTGTTACAGACCCAGAATGCCAACTGCCGAACAGCTGCCACAAAAAAGTTGGAGACTATGACAATATGTTACCACTTCTGGTGGTGACATAAAATCTACTTTGAACAAAAAATTATCTATCATGTATATTAGCTATAGCTTTAGTTCTATTTTGAATTATCTTAAAAAGCTGAGCTTATTTTGCATTCTGGAAATTGTGTTCCACATGATTATCCAGTCCTATTTACCTGAAAGCTGTGACGAGACACACAATGACACCCATAACATCGAAGCAATTGGGCTCCAAGTGGGTGACAGCAAACAACAGATTGATGGAGAGGATCATACCACTATCCAAGCCCTCACGGAAGAACAGTGCATGTTTTTCTGCTGTGCTGAACAAAGACACAACCAAGGCTGAAATGGAAAGCACGAAGGGCAACATGTAAAGGAAATATAAATCAGGTTATTGGTTTCACTATACTTCTGGAAAAACAATACATGTCTGCATTTACTCAAAAGTTTTATGTCAAATCGAAAGTCCTGCTTTAGATTTCTTCAACAAATTGCAAAATTAGAATGAAACCAATCAGCTATATAATTTGAATTTCCTAATTGAAGATTTTTGACACATTCACATCTAACGCACCTGCCATAACAGGAACCAGCTGTACAACACAGATTTTGAATGCAAACTCGACTCTCTTCTCCAAATCCATCTCATCCTTGGCATCATCAAATCCCATAATGCAACAGCCTCCATAAGCGAGACCAATAAATAGCAAGCAGCCAATCACAAACGGTATACATGCCTTTATTTTAGATGGAGATTTCAATTCTGGTTGGATTGTTTTATGTTCCAGTTCATTGACAGGCTGTTGTGTTTTAGAATCATCGATTTGTTTTGCTGAGTCGAGAGATTGTACGATGTCTTCATTGTTGTTGACACATTCGGTCAAATCCAGTTCAGACTCTGCAGTGTCATCAACAATTTCTGTGCCATTGTCAGACATCCTGAAAATGTTTTACATTTGATCAATCCTGAGTCAAAGTTTATAAGTTAGCAAGGTATTTGTGTGAGACCTAGATTAGTCTGTAGTAATCTTAGACCACTCCCATCTTAATTCAGTAGACTGCCCCCCTGGGACTGGCACGCTAGTACTGTCAGTCATACCCCCATAAATGTGGGGTTGATTTTTCAAATATAGATTTATAAGAAATTCAAACTTGACATTTCTAGCTAGAAAAACTTCATTCAAAGTTTGAAAATGAGTTCTAAAAGTTTCTTACCTTAATTTCTTTTAGATCGTAAACTGTGCTGTTGTTCTTCCTAAAGAAAGCTTTAAAGTAGTCTTGTTTATTAAACATCAATTGGAATCGGAAAAGAAAGTAAAGTACTTGGAGTTCGAAGTTATCAAAACAGGAAGCTGTTGTTTGTAAACAATCATGGACGCGTGCTTCGCGGATTAAGGTCAACTAAAATCGGATCATTTGATTGGTTCAATATCACTGTATCGTAACGGCCAGAACAGTCGTTAGCGTAACATTTCAATATGAAAATGGCAGAGAGTTATGGGTTTTAATTTTGTATTTTATCCTATCCTATTGATTCTCATGTACAAAATTTAAAGTTTAATTAATTCTCTGATGATTCAAAATAGTTACTCTTCTTGTACATTATATAGTAGGGGAAGATCACCTAATTCCGTCCACTTTTTGTATTTTTCTTTTTATTGAAAAACACGGCGAAGATTATCAAAACCGCTTGAAAACTATATGAAACATCAATAAAACTAACATTAATTGCGGGGTCTCCGATTCAAATCATCGCTGTTTGATTGGTTAATATCATAGAAAAGGTGGAGAATTGTGTTTCCTAATCCCGTCCACCTGTCCTAATCCCGTCCACCAAACAGTCCTAATTCCAGCCAGCCAACAACCTAATGCCGTCCACGTGATTAATTACCGTGATTCTCAATAAGTTTACATCTATTACCCAATATTTGTTCATTCCCTAACCATTTATACTATGGTATGTTACCCTACGGTGTTATAACTGAATGACTTATTCATATTTTTGTTACAGCACAGCCAGAGTGGTGATGTATTTGTTATGGTATCTAAGTTTAGGGAACATTGTTCGGCGGTTGGGATTTCTCACTTGTAACAAATTGACGGTGACATTTGGCTTGTCGTAATTAGGCCTACATTTTGTATAACGTATTTAGCAAATAGCGGGATAAATAGTGTAAAGTAATCGCCGTTTGCGGAACAAATCGTGAAACTTTCCTTAAATGATCACTGATTGCTACTCTTTAAATAAAGCAACTGTGCCAAAAAATCGCTCCATAGGAACTACCCTAATTTTACAATTCTTACCCCCCCCCATGGTCACGGAGGGGGGGGCTAAAAAATTTCGACATAATTTTTTTTACTAAATTGTGCTCATACTTCAAATTTAATATTACCTTATCATGTTAAGAAGTTAATGTTGAACTGAAAATATGAAATACCATTGATTTTCAATTGCTATGTTAAAGGGTGGTGATGGGCGACGCCCACTTTTCTTGTATTGAATATTTTGCATCATATCACAGTAGCAGGAGTAAATAAAATAAGTGATATATGATTTTAAAATTACATCAATATCTAATGCTTCACATGACTATTATTTTTCACCCTTTTCACTGTTAAAGGCTTGTTTTGAGTCACACCCATCTTTTAAATATACAGAAAAAATGGTAGATACGGTTTGGCTTGTGGTTTCTTTTGGCTTCTGAGTGCAGTTAGAGTCCATATATCTGTTTCATAATTCCTTTAGTTTCACTTTGCACACATTTTTAAATCATAGTTTTATTAATCTTATCAATAGAAGGATTTATACTAGTGTCTATCAGTTTCATAGCTACTTTTTGGTATGTTGCAGTGTCCTTATTAAGAACAATTGCCATCACACACACATAATTCTGTACAAACAAGATTTCCTTTCAGGCAATTGCATCGTGTTGTTATGCATTGGTTTTTGCAGCTACACTTTATGAGAGCCTGGCAAGCGTCTGATGCTTGGGGTAAAGTTGTCCACCTTGGTATCCATTTGGTGTCTTCAAATATCCAGCCCCACTCAGCTGGGGAAGGAACTTGAGGATTCGCTGTAAGTGGTTGCCCCCAAATAAATACAGCTTGGTATATGACTCTATTCATATGCTGTAAAAGGGCATCTGATGTTGGAGGAATGTGTGATATTATTGAAGTCCTCTTTGTGAACATCTCCTTCCTCGCAGCATTGATTGATGTTTCATTTCATTGTTTTATTGTAGACCAGAATAATGAACCGCTCTAAAATAGGCATGGCATCAAGCAGGGTATTGGGTCGTATTGAGATTTCTGTTAATACTGTAGTCAATTCAGGGTAGGTACTCCACTGGTTCCAGGCTGATGTCTTAGACTTTCCATTAAAGCCTGATGTGGTGTCACATCCAGTCATAGCATGGAATATTGGAACACATGGCTTTCTGAGGAGTCATTACATGGGCAATTTCGTGGGCTGGAAGGTATCTATAGGACTTTCCCTTGCCAAAGGCGAGCCAGACTTGAATGTTAAGTTGTGCAGCTATACTAACTGCCAGAACAACAATGTCTGAATCAGCTGTTTTATAGATTATAATTATAATCATCATTTTTGTGAAGCCTTTTTTCATTGCATCATATATGTATGTGCAGAAAGATTCAGGAATCTGCCTCTTCATGGGATGATGGTGAAATCTCAGAAACATGCTGCTTAGGATATGCCTCTGCAGTATTCCCAATTGTAATCAGGATTTTATTCTCTGGTACTGGAATGGCTGAGACATTTGATGCAAGGAAGGTAAAGAGATCACTTTTCTTGTCATCCGAGCGTAGAAATTCTGGCCAATTCCCTGGCAATTTGTTTTCTGGATAAACTATTTGACACTTTCCAGATCCACGCTTTTTTCTTGTTGAAGATTTGACACTATTTGGTACATATTGATCCCATACAATATCAAGTCTTTGTACTCTATTAAGTTGATCTGCAACATACTTATTAAATATGTCATTTGAGTATTGTAGGAAGGTTCTTGCTTCTTGAGTTTTCAGCAGGTGGACTATTGCCACCATCAAGAAACAGGGCTTCAACATCTGGTGTATTGATCTCTATATTTGGAACAAGGTCTTCCAATGGTTTTAAGATATTTGCTTTGAGTCCAGTCTTGATTGTGCCATCTTGAGAAAGGGATGGAGGGAATGCCTGGTTCTCATGTCGTAAAAGTTCATCTGAGTTGCCGTCTCTATTCTGGCACGCTATGTATAGTTGTGAAAATAGGGCAGTGTCATTTTTCAAGCTTGCTAGCATTGAACTTGAGTTAGATTTCTTCTTTTGTTGTTTGAAGATCTTGAAATTGTTTCTCTTGATAGGGTCTGTGATGGCTTTTGATCATTCAATAATTCTCTCCTTTATATATACTTCACATTGACTTTTCCCCTTTTTCTCAATTGTGTTCAATGTGTCTGCACATCTGCACTGCTTGACATTACATCTTTAGTATCAAGTGTCCAAGTTCCTTTGATGTTGCAATAAAGGGGTTTCCTAAATCATTGATAACCTCAGTATGGGAATTGACATCTTTCTTTAAACTGGTTTGATAACTAACACTGTGCTCATGGTTTGCAAGGACTTCATCATCATTATCCTTCATCTCATTCTCAAACTCAGTTAACATTCTTGCCATCTCTGGACCACCGACCATCCACTTCTGTAATGTGGTTGGATTGTCGAATAACCCCACAGCTCGACCCTCACTTTTGATCACACTATTATTTTGCTCATGGGCTTGGTCTATTGACATGGAGGAGAAGCTTCTTCTTGACTTGCTGACAGTGAAATGCCCCTTCATGAAAGCATTGTGAACTTCAGGGTGGATTTCTTTGAGCTGAACCATATCACTTACATGGACAGGTACCCAGCAGGCATAATTGGTATGATCCAGGGAGAAAAACCATGTCATGATTTTGAAGATAGTTTCTTTGTAGAGCTTGAAGTCCCCAAGTCTCATAGCTCTAACATTTGTTAGACACAGAACTTGTTATTGGAGTAACATGTACCAGAATTTGAATATAGGTGACCCTGTTTCTTCACTCTGCTGGGTATCTATCCAAGATTCAAAATCAAGAGGCAAAATTGTATTGATTGGTTATCTACCTGAAATCTACCTATTAAGTAACAAGACCCACTCCCAATACACATAACACTCCTTCTTAATTCAAAACTGCCCTTATTAGACCAACAATATCATATTTCAAAATAGTTCAGCAAAATAAGCAGAACTAATTCTCGATTATTTTTATTAATCATGTAGGTCGAAATCATACTTTCAAAAACTGATCAAGATCCTATCATAAACGTTGATGCTCATTGTCATTCAAGCATGACCTTGTCAAAAACAAGAAGTGATTTTGGTATTTGTTTAAGAAAGATACACCTTTTGCTAGATTATTCTGTATTTGCATTCAAGTCACTCATCAGATGTCACATAGTTTGTCAAACTTTATTTTCAATTAGAATTACATTGTTTATTATGTCGAAGTATATGCCACTATGGAAAAGAGATAAAACGAATTAATTAAATATAGGTAAATATTCATTTTGCTAAAAATTGACTGCAATCTCACTCATTATCATGTGTATCATGGTAAAAGGTCCCAACATTGAAATTATGGTACTATTTAATGATAATCCTAAAATGTTATGGATGGTCATTAAGCCTACCCCTATAAATTTTAGTGGTAGGGGTAAAAATTGCGAAAAGTAGAAAAAAAAATGGAAGAAATTTTCGGCACAGTTGCTTTTTACACCCAGGAAGGTTGTCTGGTCATATATGGAAAGTTCCACGATTTGTTCCGTTTTCGGCGCTTTCGCCCTTTTTTATGTCACTATTTATCTCGCTAAAACATGTTGTCAATTTATATTCTCCTTTAAGGATCAGATGATAAGGTGCCCGTAGTGTTAAAACCTGAGGCCGAGGAATACTTAAAAAAAGTTTAAAATGTCCGCTAGTGTACTGAGTTGTTAATGCGTGGTGTATACATGTATATTATACTAGATTACTTATATTATGTATAAGAATAAGACTGATTTTTATAAGCTAAATGGATAATAATTCTTTTCATTAATGACAGTATACCCGGGCCTCAGGTTAAAACAATGTACGCCAATGCCAAGTGTTAACAAGCAAGGGTAAAAATTGAACAGGCCTAGACCTACCTTAAGTTCTCGAGTCAAATTGTCAAACTCACAATGGGTTCACACGGCGACAGCATACTATTTTCTCAAAGTTATGTATCGTCGTATTACGAAATAATGGAATCTGACAATACTGTAGTTGTATACCATTGTAGGTATATATTTATTTTAATTATTCAGAAAGAACATAACAATCTGCGTTAGGACCTCATGATGATTAAAATCGTAGTATCTGGAATATAGTTTTACTGCTGTGAAAAGTGCTCGTCTATAAAGCAATCCTTTTAATTGGAAAACAAAGTCAGGTTGACAGGGCTGTCAACTTGGGACCACCTAATATGAGTGACTTACAAATGTTGGGGGGGGGGGGGGGTAGGTACGAAAATTTCCAATGAACATGCGTGACATATACGGGATTCGCGTGACAAATCCGAACAAATTGCGTTCGTTTTTTTCCGACGTTCGTATTTTTACCGTATCATAAACATATTTTGAATTTTTTTTTACAGAAACATATTTGCGTGACAATTACCAGGTAAAATGCGTATTTGCGTGACATTTTGTGTCACGCAAAAAAAACTGGCGTGACTTCAAATTCTTCAGCAAATGCGTGACAAATACGCAAATTGCGGGACAGTTGACAGGCCTGGGTTGAGTTCCGTCAAGATTTCCAAAATCGTCGTTCAATAATGATTTAAATGTCAAAAAACATTTGATCATTTTAAGCACACAATTATAGTTGCAATAGATAGATTTTATTTATTACCATTTGGATCTGGGACACTGATATTTCCCAATGGTTCCATTAACAAATATATTTAATAGTCCAACAATCTGAATATACGATACCATACGCTGACACGTAATCAGTGATTGAAAGTGCATAATAGGCCCAGTATATAAACGTTGAAGCTAGCGTTACGTACTAGGGTTACTAGGGGCTACTAAATAGGTTTCTGTTTGATTTAAACTTTTTTAGCAAATCTGCTTTTAGTTTCTTCTCTTTATTTAGTTTCCTTTTTTCCTTCCGGAATATGGTAAACAATATGAACTATGTATTGTATAATCATTTTCGTATGGAATAAATCAATGATTAGCATGTTTATGTACATGATGTAGTTCAATTTATACTAAAATAAAGTTACCAAGTCGCTGTATTTAGCTTTATATTGTATTGTAAACCAATGCAAAGCTGAAATCAATGGACCTCATGAACACCGTTTTGTACAGACTGGCCGAGTGGACGATTGAAATAACATCGATCACCAAAGGCAAGGTAGGATAATATATTGCACATGCTTATCATGAATCATGTTGTTTCCTTTCATATTGTTTATTATTTATCGATTCTCGATTTAAAATCATAAGCATACGCTATTTTGATACATCTCAGATAATAAGTGGAAAGATTGAACACCATCATTTTGATTATCGTGTTCACAGCGTTTAGATTGGATGGAGTATACTTTGAGTTACCATACTGCTTGTTACTCAAATGTGGTTAGTTGTTATATGTTTTTCATAACCCAAACACAACAAAAATTCTTATAAATGTTGCCTATGTCGTTCATATCGTTGCAAAGGCTATTATATAGACAACTCACCTAAAACTCCATTGACATAAACGTAATCATGGACTTGAAAATAGATTTAAATACGTGTTATATAAGGAGATAAAGTGAAAGTATAGTAGGGCACGCATTGTTCTAAATAAACAACATTTACTCGAACATCAACATAATAATTTATTCACATGGGGAATGTACCATTTTAAGTGTGGCAGTTACACACGGGTCTGGTACAACACGGTGATGATGTACTTTTAGTAAACTTGTATATTAAAAATATCTAGAAACTTTTCTGAAACGATGAAAACATCAGTTTGCTAAAAGTACATCAGCCCCGCTTTGTACCGGACCCCCTGCGTGTACGCGGTACGTACCCTATGATTAAGCAAGTTGGAATAAGGCATCGTATACTAATGACATTTTCAGATATTCAAAATATACATGTATTATGTTAATACGTAATTAACAATCTGACTATACGATCACGGATTGTTGACTTAGGTATAGCATATCGGGCAGCCGTTTGCCTCAGAGTCAACCGGCCTTCTCTGTAGACTTTCACGGCCTCTTCCAGTATTTCCCGTCAATCAGATTGTGACCTAAAAATAATAAATGTCCACGTACATATCGTCTTTTACACATGTGTATTAATTCAGTTTTTAATATAATTCAACTTCGACAATCGTCTTCAAGTACACAGTGCAATGAAAAGAAGAATCTCCAAAAAGGGGAATCCCCAAATTTTCTAATTGAATTTAATTCCTAATTCCGGTCAATCTTTCCAGACAAATTGTCAGGGTTTTAATTAATTTCTAAGTTTATTACGTCGATCTTTTAAAAGGATTAATATTCAATATCAAATTTAAATGAACTTCATGTAGTTTTCCATTCCAGATTTGCATAATATATCATATAAAGACGGAGACGTAAAATACTCACATTCAAATATGGCGCCAATTGGAAAGAAACACCAAGATCAACAATGAATTATAATCGATCGACCCTTTACGTAGATATAGATTCTAAAATGAAACTAGGTATCAACATGTGTCAATTTATTCATTAATACTAATACTAATATGCGTACATATCAATATATCGATATTAGGTAGTGTTGGCTGTCATTAGGTTATGTTGGACGCCATTAGGTTGTGTTGGACGCCATTAGGTACTGGACGGAATTAGGTGATTCTACCCTAGCCGAGACAACTCAAGTCCCAAGCCTGTATAATTACTCTCATTTCTTCACTTTTAAGAGTTAAGTCACTACATTTTGCATACATATTCCCAGGAGAAATCCTAACAGATTTATGTTTTTACCTGTTCCGTATTTAAAGGCGGATGCATAGAACATTTGTTTGATAGATAATCAATAGTACAGTATAACATACTACCATAGTGACTAGATACTGATATAAACCTGTACTAGACATTGGTTAAACAGTTATCAATGGTTCTATTGTAGCAGATTTAGTTAACATAATGAATGTGTTATTGTTGATCACGTAAAATCATAGAAAGTCACATTTTCTAGGAAAAACGGTAAATCTCGGACATTTGACCAATTGACCATTGCTATTCAAAGATCCGACAAAAAGATGAAGTCAGTTTTAACTTTAGTATTTGAATGCTAAAATATCCTTTAGTTTCTGTAACAATTTTTTATGCCAATACCTAATGTTATGATACTTTTCTAGCCTTTTAAAAAGAAATTTGGGAACACCCTGTATGTGTATGTCTATGTATAATGAATGATATGATGCTTCACATCAATACATAGAAGTCGTACTGGATTCTTTTTGTCGATAAAATTAAGAAAAAAGGTTGATAAATAAGCAAGAAATGAACTCATCCATGCTTGAAAGTGGTTCATGTATTTCAAAATTTTAGTTTCCATAGAAACCAATGGTATATGACATATTCTTTTTTCTATCCTAGTTAGACAATCAACATTTAATTATTTTTCAAGTTTAGCATATTCACAAGAAAATATCGACATAAAAACAAATTTAATTTTGCCACCTGAGTGACATCAATCTATTCAATGGTGTTAAAAAGATAATGTTTTTATCACTGTAATAACTTTTAAAATCATAAAGAATAGTAAATGAATGATAAAAACATATTTTCAAACTTTATATGGGAACTTTAAAATAAATCAAATGTATTAGATTTCATTTACGTTTATTATCCGTGTTATTCTTTCTTATCGTATATTTAAACCATAAACCAAACGGATGTACTTAGGACACTCTTATCACTTCGAGACTACATGTAAATTATACGTGTTGTCACTTATCATGACATTGAATGTTCTATTATAATTGTATGTACATACTGTTATCTACAATTTTTTAAGAACAACATTATTCGAAACTAGTACGCGTATTTTTCAGTCCAGGAAATATCAGCAATTATTATAGGATTTAAGCCCTGGCGAGTCTGGACTCAGTGCATACGTAGTGGACTGGCTATCATTACCCAAAGGTGTTGTTTCAAACTTTGCACGAATGCGTAGCATAAGTGCTAAGTTAAGGAAATCAGCCACAATGCATTGCAAGAATCAATGCATCTTTCCACCCAGGCGGTTGCGCGGTCATACAAAGATTTGAAAACAACACCTTCATGGTATGATTCAGCTAACAATGCACAGAGGCAAAGGCGTATATCCTTAATAATTCTACAATTAAACTTCATTCATTATCCTTGCAGACGTCGTCCAAAACTCTGTAGGCCTGTAATATGGTAGCATGGCAACACGCGTAGTCGTAGATGATGGTACGTCGGTTGTGACTTATGGAGATTGGAGCAGCAATGATTCAGATGAAAAGTTTAATCGTCTCTACGAAGCTTGTCAAAGTGATGATGAAACGGCATGTTTAGAATTGGGGAAATGTTACGTTTATGGTCCCTCTGGTTTCCATAAGGACATTTTGCTTGGAGAGTTTTACATTGCTAAAGCCGCAAGACAAGGTAACAAAGAGGCCATTGCGTTACTGAACGAAATACCAGCATTACTGTCAGAAGGGCCTGTTGAAAATAGAGACAACGTTTGGATTGAGGAAGCGTCTGCCAAGTTGAAAAGAAGTAAAGGGAATTGTGTATTACCTCGCCTTCCCGTTGGCAGCTTTATATATATTACAAAAAACAAACATACTGACGAAACCAAAGAGCTGCACAAACAATCACAGGGTGCATTGATGGACGTTCTACAAAGCAGGCCAACAGTGTGGCCAAAGGAGATAGTCAATTCATTTGGGGATTCCCCTACTGCAAGAAAATACGCCAAAGCCATCGAACTCATGCAAGCTGTTCACAACATGCTCGTCAACCCACCAAATAAGGAAGATCGCTTCAAACAAGTTGAAGGTATTCACTTGTACATGGAAGGTCATTTCTATGAGCCAATGGCAAAGAACACAGTTCCATTATGGCAACCTCATTTTGATGATGTTGATAAGCTTATAACGGATACACTTAAAGAAAACAAAAATGACTTTGCGTGTCGTCTTTTAAGGATATGTATGTATTCTGAAATCGAGACATATCGGTCAAATTCGGAAGATCTTATCGTGGCACTCGAGGTTTTGGTGAATGATATAAACTTGCACAGTGCAGTTGGCAGGCGAGTCCAAGAAAACCAAGATAATGAGCGGACAAAAATGATCAAATGCAATGCATTGGAATTTCTTGGAGCCTTATACTGCACTTCAAATCAAGTATTGAGGTCAAACGACAGTTACCGAAAATGCCTTGATATGTTTCCTTCGCATCTAAATGCTTTATATAGTATTGCTTTCAATCAGTTCAACAAGGCTTTAGGCCAAACACTTAACAATGATAATACAACAAATCCAATGGTAAATGAAATGGAGCAAAATGTCACTGACAAGAGCAAGGATATAATCAAAAACGGATCCGAATCAGCATTCAAACCGTATCTAGAAATTGCTCCAAAATGCCACCGAAAATATCATTTCGCACTTTACATGTCAGCCTTTGAGAGCTTGCAAAACAATAACTGTCGGGACGTGGTGGATCTCTACGAGATGGCCGTGGATGTTGAGAAAAAATCTCTTCCTATGTACCATATGCAAAATAAACCTGCAGTCTACAATATAATAGTAGTGATGTATCCTTTCATTAAGTCTCGATTATGCGCTAATACAAATTGTACCATCCAAAGTAAAGACCTTAAAGAGGTTCTGCGTGCACCACCGGGAAAACGTTGCAGTAAGTGTAAGATGGTGAGATATTGTACGAGCGATTGCCAGGCTGCCCATTGGCCAAAGCATAAACTTACTTGTAAAAGGCTAAAGTGATAACGTTGTGAGACGTAAGACGTTGAAGTGACAATGATCACTAACTGTTGAAGAGACAGTGATCATTACATAAAGTTATACGTATGAAGTTAAAGTGACAATGATCAGTACATAAAGTTATAGGTAAGAAGTTGAGCGACAATGAACAGTACATACAGTTATATGTATGAAGTTAAAGTGACAATGATCAGTACATAAAGTTATACGTAAGAAGTTGAGCGACAATGAACAGTACATAAAGTTATATGTATGAAGTTGAAGTGACAATGACCATTACATAAAAATGTACGTAAGAAGTTGAAGTGACAATGATCAGTACATAAAGTTATACATAAGAAGTTTGAGCGACAACGATCAGTACATAAAGTTATACGTATGAAGTTGAAGTGACAATGACCATTACATAAAAATGTACGTAAGAAGTTGAAGTGACAATGATCATTATCTAACGTTATATGCAAGAAATTGAAGTGACAATGATCAGTACACAAAGTTATACGTGGGAAGATGAAGTGACACTGATCAGCACATAAAGTTATATGTGAGAAGTTGAAGTGACAATGATCATTTACCTAAGGTTATATATAAGAAGTTGAAGCGACAATGATCAGTACACAAAGTTAAACGTAGGAAGTTAAAGTGACACTGATCAGCACATAAAGTTATACGTAAGAAGTTGTAGTGACAATGATCAGAACACAAAGTTAAACGTAGGAAGTTGAAGTGACAATGATCAGTACACAAAGTTATCGTAAGAAGTTGGAGTGACAGTGATCAGCACATAAAGTAATATGTGAGAAGATGAAGTGACAATTATCATTACCTAAGGTTATATGTAAGAAGTTGAAGTGACAATGATCAGTAGACAAAGTTATACGTAGGGAGTTGAAGTGACAATGATCAGTACACAAATTTATACGTAGGGAGTTGAAGTGACAATGATCAGTATACAAAGTTATACGTGGGAAGATGAAGTGACACTGATCAGCACATAAAGTTACATGTGAGAAGTTGAAGTGACAATGATCATTTACCTAAGGTTATATGTAAGAAGTTGAAGCGACAATGATCAGTACACAAAGTTAAACGTAGGAAGTTAAAGTGACACTGATCAGCACATAAAGTTATACGTAAGAAATTGAAGTGACAATGATCAGTACACAAATTTATACGTAGGAAGTTGAAGTGACATTTATCAGCACATAAAGTTATACGTAAGAAGTTGAAGTGACAATGATCAGCACAAAAAGTAATATGTAAGAAGTTGAAGTGACAATGATCAGTACACAAAGTTATACGTAGGGAGTTGAAGTGACACTGATCAGCACATAAAGTTATATGTGAGAAGTTGAAGTGACAATGATCATTTACCTAAGGTTATATATAAGAAGTTGAAGCGACAATGATCAGTACACAAAGTTAAACGTAGGAAGTTAAAGTGACACTGATCAGCACATAAAGTTATACGTAAGAAATTGAAGTGACAATGATCAGTACACAAATTTATACGTAGGAAGTTGAAGTGACATTTATCAGCACATAAAGTTATACGTAAGAAGTTGAAGTGACAATGATCAATATATAAAGTTATATGTAAGAAGCATAAGAAGTTGAAGTGACAATGATCAGTACATAAAGGTATACGTAAGAAATTGAAGTGACAATGACCATTACATAAAATAATTCGTATGAAGTTGAAGTGACAATGTTCAATACATAGTTATACGTACGAAGTTGAAGTGACAATGACCATTACAAAAAGTTATACGTAAGAAGTTGAAGTGACAATGATCAGTTCATAAAGTTAAACGTGAGAAGTTACACATTTTCACCTTTTAACACGATAGAATGTAACGTACTTGAGAAAAATGTGCACAAAGGGAAATTCTTTCGTCGTCCACATTACCCCCTATATCTCAAAACATTTTGAATAACTCTGTTATCGTAGGTATATCAACAAGCGGTTGGGAGCATCATAAAACACGAAAGATTTGTAATTTTAGGTAAAAAGAACATATGTGCTGCTATGTTTGAAAATATTTGAATGGCGTAAATTAGGCCTATTTTAGTGAATTTTGATATCCTTTCGTCCTCCGCTTTTCTACATACAGTAGAAAACAATTACGTTTTCAAACAAAATCAACTATTTATTAATAAACTAGAATTTATGAGCAAAATAATCATATAAAATTTATAAAAAATTGATCTCTGGTTCAATGCACACCTGAAAAGTTGAAGGTAACAAAAAATGAGCAAAAAATATCGCTGTCCACAGATTCTGTTTTTCAAACTATATGACGTCAAAATATGGGACGCTTACACACTACTTTTATCATTATTATCATTTTATTATTATAGTTAAAGAGATTTAGTCGTCCAGATTTCTATTCTGCACAATCAGTAATGTCCCAATATAATTGCTCATAAAACATCATATATCCCTTAATATATCTTGAGACCAAATCATAAGCACAATATCACCAATATATTGAGAAAATCAACAGTACAACCAACAGAACCACCAGCTGTCAGAATTGAACGCAATAAGTCGAAAACAATATACAATGTTTTTGGGGGATTTATTTATATTTTAACCCCTTAGAAACTAATAAAGGCTTCTCTGAGCCAAAACAATCTGTTGAAACTGAAGGAAAAGGCTAATCAGACTGGAACAAATTTTAGCGGACTTTTTGAATTTCTATCGATGAAAGTGGAAATTCATGGCTAGGAACAATCAGCGAATTGATACTGTTCACGAATTAAATCAAGCCTCACAATTGGTAAGTTGATAAAGAAACCTGTTTTAAATCAAAAACACGAAAAAATCAGGGGGTTACTCTAATTGTGTTTTTAGGAGACCCGATCTCTTTAAATATTGTTCGAGTTATGAGCGTTTAAAGATGGAAAATTATTCAAAATGTAACGTGTCTACAGCGGATATTTGCCAGATTTTTGGGTAAAAACTCTTTTTTTAAAACGAGCAAGAATTGTGAAATGAGTGTACCTAATTTGAAAACCCTATAAAAGCAGCTTTAAAATGATATATTACTTTGATTGGCATATAATCTTATTTTACGAAGAATTATGGAGAAAGGGTCGATGGCAAACATTGACACAACCCGGGTTTTTAGCACCCGTGCTGTTAGCTCTCGAAACCCGTGCCAATAGCTCTCGAAACCCGTGCTAGAATAGTCTCGCAACCAGTGCTATTTACTGAACGAAACGATCGGAAAACCCCGGGGCCAGCGTCCTATCAGAGTATTTATGGATATAGGACACCCATATGACCATGTTATCAGTTTGGATCTACCATTAACAGACCCGTAGCCAGGACCCTCTACCATTGCAAAAATTCTTTCAAAACCATGCAGTTTCTCACCATTCTGAACACGTTTTCAAGTGGTTCAAGTGGACACGTACTAAAATAGTCTCGAAACCAGTGCTATTTTAACTTTTGATGGTAGAGGCGCCATAATCTTAACGAAATGCAAAATACTCTAAACCCGGGATGTAGCATCCCTTGGTATTCATGAATCGGATTAATTGCCCGACCTTTTTACCTTTCTGCCAGTTTGAATTCATGTCGATAAAGGCTCTCAAATTAGAATTAAACATTATTCTCAAAATTCAAAAGTGAATTGGCTATAGCAATTAGGAGTTAGGGTCCTTATGTGTTCAAGTTTACGTGTTCGAAGGTATTTGGGATTAGATGAGGTTTTAATTAATGTTATAGTTCCTGATAATAGCTGGCCTTGAACTACATTGAGGTATTTGGAGGTGATGCTGTATTCAAGTCTGGACCAAACAAACTAATCAAGAAAGTTCGATGTACAATTTATTTATTTCTATTGCAAAGAACTATTTACATATGCCATTTCAAAGTCAACCCATGTGACTATTCATTTTATCAAGCGATTTATAAAGTATTATAATTATGCATATACCTGTTGACTCACTTCAATCTTGAACATTAACAAACTTTATCTCCATTTTTGGGTGTGGCTAATTCCAGTTAACCCTACTGTGGACTAGTGACAACATATATTTTGCAAAAGCCAAAAATGTATGCATTTAGTATTGAAACATCAAGTCCATTGTACATCGATCACAAATAAAGACCTATCGCATTTACATATACTCCAATAAATTCAAATACAGTAAAACCTGTAAATAGTGAACACCTATTGAGCCACAAAAAGTGTCCACTATAGGTATTTTCTAACTATCGAGGGCATGATATACAGGATTCGATGTGAAATGTATCTGAAGTGGTGCTAACTAAGAGAGGTGTTCACTAAAACAATATACCATATTATCTAATGAGCGCACACTTCCAATGAGGCAAATGTGACTATTTTATTGAATTTTGTCTCAATATTAACACATTGATTTTGATTAACAGAACTGATTGATATATTATATTGATTGATGATTTTCAACATGTTTAATGCAGATAAAAATAGTAGCTGTAGAGTATGAGAACCTAAGTGATCACAACTAAAAGGATCATCGTCTATATTTTTCTCAACATCATACACTTTTAAATTTCAATTTGGAAACCACACTGTGGATTTATTAAGAGAATATGGTAATAACACCACATAAACTAAAATGCCTACATAATGAATATTGCAATTACTGGTTAAATTTGACAAGAAAAAACAATTTCCATAACCCCATGAAAATGAAAGCCCTCAAAAATACAATAAACACCAGAACTGCTTAATGCTACTTCAATTTTTGAATTTTTAGAAGAAATCCAATGTTTACCAACAACAGACGCCTTGTTGATCTCAGAGGTTCACTGTGTAAGAACCATTAATTGAATATCTTAAAGATCATCCAAATCTAATGAGTTAACCAATCTCCAATTTTTTTATATGATAAATCCTGTATTGAAATAACAGTTAACAAGGCATTTCTACGAAAGATTGTTTGCACACATTCGGTACAACCTTTTAACAAACATCTAAATAACAGTCTGAGACTATAAAAATGCATTAGCTATCAAGAGTGATATTTTTCACCAAATATATGTTTTCATAGGTACTATAAATTCAAAGACTTCTGATCAATTTACTTAATTAATTCTACTGATCACTATTTCATCAATATTTCAATAGCTTGCACACAACCAAA